AAAGCTTTGAAAAAACTACATTCAGAGTATAAGACGCACCTTAGTTTTTGGGGAGGAAAATAAGGCGGGGGGAATTCTGCCTACCAGGTGTTCATCTGGCTAGCATCCTTATTCTGGTCAGCTTCAGCAGATAGGTTTGCTGGTTTTGAGTGCACACACGCTTTTTATCCCCTGATTGGGGATAAAAAGCAGCTTTTAAAGCACAGCTGATTGTCAGTGAGACTGATTGTCAATGAGAAAAGCAAGGGAAGCGTGGAAGATCGCTTCACTCGCTAGCACCTTGTTAGGGCTGAAAAACAGCTTCTAAAGCACAACCGATCATCGGAGGGAGAAAAGCATTGAAGGGAGAAAAGCAGGCAAAGCACAGAAGATTGCTTCACTTGCTAGCACCTCTTTAGGGCTGAAAAAAAGCTTCGAAAAATCTTCATTCTGAATATAAGACGCACCCAAATTTTCAGCCTCTTTTAGGGGAGGAAAAGTGTGTCTTATACTCCGAAAAATATGGTATATAGAAGTTTGTAGAATGACTAGTATGCTGCCAATACATTACTTTGTTTATCTTAATTCTGAGAATGTAAGGATATAAAAAGAGTCCTACTGAATCAGACCAAAACCAGTTTTGTGTTTCACACTCTGGCCAATCAGATGTATATACAATTCCCAATTTCCCAGAACTATTGCATGTAATGGATGTATTCTAGAATCTTCAAGAATAGTAACTATTGATAGCCATACCCGTAATGAATTGGTTTTATCCTCATTTAGGTTGATGGCTGTCACATCGTCCTAGCCCAATAGCTTAACTAGTATATTACATTGGCCTTCTCTGAACAGCACTGAATAATAACTGGCTCATTGATGAAACCACTGAGATTTTCTCATAGCGAAACCTGGAGCAAAATTCCTTTGACCCTAATATATCTAGAGGGTACCATGTTGAGGAAGATTGTGTTATTCTCAAAATAATAGTGGCAAATCATATTTGCTGTGTCCTTCTTGACTCCTTCCTCTTACAAGGTGCAACGTTTATTTTTTGCTTTATTGCTATGGTTACCCCATTCCTCTACTATAGTCAAACTGAAAAGTAACAGTAATTTTGCTATTTATTCTCTGCAATGTTTTATTGAGCTCTGGAGCATCTTCATTTTTCTAGCTGAGAGATGCAGATTCATTCCAACTAGCCAGTAAGAGGCTTTGTAAATAAATAAGGGACAGATTGAAACTCTCTTAGTGAGCAGGTACACACACCAGGGGATAGAAGAAGGGAAATCAAGAAGTTAAATAAAACCAGGAAGAATTTTTCAAGATTTTAAAAGAAAACTTTAAAAATGAACAAGAGATATTTCCCCTCATCCAATCTTAGCCACATTTATAAATAAGCATACAGTATATATCACAGTTTATATTAAAAAAAGATCATGGTCTACGTAAATTACTTAATTTGGGTTTTGTACTTAATTTACATAAAAATACTGTTGTTTCTTATTAGGGGGGAAAGGTATCATGCCAACATACTTCTAATATTATTCTTTGCTAATAAAATTATGCACGTAGCTTCTCTAACTTAGATTTCCTAATTCCAGATGAACTCAGAAGGTATCTAAACTTTGTGGATGCTTGGCTGTTCTTTCCTGATTGTTGTTGTCTTTCCTTCTTACATTTATAGTCCACCTTACATGCAAATAGAAAAAGGCAGTATTTGTATTTTCACCTATTTTGCCTTCATAACTACTCCTGTGTTATCAGTTAGGCTAAGAAAGAGTGACCGGACCTGGTTCAGGAGTAAGCAACTCTTTCAGAGAACAATTATCAAAAGCATAATGGTAAAGATAGTGGATTGGAACTTAGAAGACTCATCTTCAAGTCATAGAAAGCCAGTCTGGAGTGGTAGATTAGGTTTTACACTATAGAAGGGTGGAGCCTTATACACACCACCTTGAATTCTTCAATTACACAGGTTTGTTATTCTCTGCAAAAATTGGAGGAAGTACTATGTGTAATCCCATAAAAGAGATCTGGTTCTTGTTTAATAGACATTTTTACTAAGGATTTTTTTCCAAGGATGGGGGATTTAAGATAGATATGTACACGGTGGTGCAGTGGTTAGAATGCAAGCTACTTCTGACTGCTGGCCTCTTGCAATTTGGCAGTTCAAATCTAACAAGGCTCAAAGTTGACTCAGCCTTCTATTTTTCTGAGGTTGGTAAAATAAGGACCCAGATTGTTGGGAACAATATGCTGACTCTCTAAACCAATTAGAGAGGGCTGGGAAGCACTGTGAAGCGGTATATAAGTGCTATTGCTATTGCTGCACCCATATTGAATTTCTCAGGGCGGGAAACAGAATAATAAAAGCAAACTGAAGTGACAAGAGAAAATATTCTAGGACATATTGAGAGACTATATAGTAAAACCCCCCAGGTCATGATGACATCCACCTGAGAATTTAAAAGAGTTCAAATGTAAAATTACTGATCTAGCCAAAATATGCAACTTGTCTCTCAAATCAGTCTCAGTGACAGAAGACTGAAAGATAGCTAAAGTGATACCTATTTTTAAAAAAGGACTTAGGCGAATTCTTATCAATTATAGACTAGTCAACATCATATCTATTCCAGGAAAATTTGTAGAAATGGTTGTCACAGGAAAAAAAAGACTAAATATGTAGCAGAACAAGTCTTGCTGAAGAAAAATCAACATACTGTAGATTCCATAAAGTGTCACTTGCTGGTGAGATGGGCGGAATATGCCTTTAATAAATAGATAAAAGTAAATTGTCTCTCAGCTCTCTTAGAGTGTTTTAAAATGCTAACAGGCATGTAGATGAAAGTGAACCTGCTGACTTGTGCATTTTGATTTTCAAAAAACCTTTAACCAAGTTTCCCATCAAAGGCTCCTAAGAAATTTAGTGGCATGATTGCTTGTCCTTTTATGAATTGCTAACAGAATTCAAAATGTAAAAATAAATGGGCAACTCTGTCAATCTAAGTACTTATCTTCCATAATTCCCTTAAGGCAACTTTCCCCAACTTTTCTGGCTTTGTGGACCAGTGGGGTAGGGGAGGAATGGTTCCGTGTGAGTGGCAATACACGTGTGCTTTCTCCTCCCCCCTCCCCCCACTTCCACAGCCCAGTTTCAAATGGGCCTCAGCCTGGTACTGGATCACTATGGTTTGGAGATTCCCACCTTAAAGATCTGTAATGACACCAATCATTTTTGTTTGTTTGCTCATAAATGAACTTCATGCAAGTTTGAATATAATAATAAAATACTTGGAATAAAAACTGAGCGTGATTGTGGAGATATGTATAAGGAACTCATTACACTGAACTAATAGTTACCTAAGTGGCAGTTACGTTGCACTTTGCAGCTAAACTTCACCTTTTCCTGGATTTTGTATATGCTGAGCTGTCTATATCTGATCTGGGAAAATATTGGGGTCAAAGATCAATAAGATTTTTGAATCAGTGTGTGGAAAAGGCAAATTCCATGTTAAGGATCATTAGGAAAAGATTGAAAATAAAATTGGTAATCCTGGCATTCCTTTACTCAAATCCACAGCCTGTCTCCCTCTGGAACACTAGATGCATTTGGAAAGAATATAACATAATTGGAAAAAAGTACAGAAAAGGACAACCAAAATTATTGATGGTCTTTCTAATGACAAAAGTCTGTCTGGAACTCTTCAGTTTAGATAAAAAGGAGCTGTGATGGGTAGTATAGGATCAAGGTGGACAAAGCCTAAAGAAAATGGATAAGTGAACAAAACTTGTCTTTTTCTCAAAGCAGTGAGACCGGGAGTATCCACTGAAACAGATTGGAAAAGGTTTAGAATGGGGAAAAGAGAGGACTTATTGATTATTATTAACCTGTATGGTTACATGATATTGAATCTGTATATTACATAGTTTTAAGGGTGGATTAGATACATAGCTACCTACATACCTACCTACATACATACATACATCTATATCTACTGTATATCTCCCCCTCCTCCCCCCCCTCTCCCAGTTGGGCTAGCTTATGTTGTTCTTATGTTATTTAACAAAAACTTCTGTTCTATTTAATTTAAAATGTTACTTTGGGTTGATCTTTAGAAAATATGCCCCATGTTCTAATGTTAAATGTTGATTTTCCCCCTTCCTAAATTGTACTCAAAGAATAATGTCTTTCCTCTTATGTCTATTTATCAGGTGATAGAAAATCAGCTTGCTGTGAAGTCTAAGGAAGTGGATCTACTTAAAAACAACCTCACAGCTTTAAAGGATTGTGCTGATGCTGCCAAGAAAGTAGGGTTCACAACCACCGATTTGGCTGAAATGAGAACTAGCATTATCAATCAGGTTAATATCTTTATTTTTGGCTATGTATAAAGAATTAGCGACTTGTTAAATGTTATCCAGTGGTTTCTTTCCCAGCTAGGATTTGAAACCATTCTCTACAAAGATAGGGTCTTTGAAGGCAACATGAGATATCTATATTCTGAAAATATGTATAAAGAAAAAAAAACACCAAATGAGTACAAAATATAGTTTGGTCAGAAGAAGCTCAGGTTTTCATGTGCATTTCAAGCTTCTGAATAGTTGAATAATATGAATAGTTCTGTTGCATGTCTGCAATCATTTGGATTCAAAAGTATTGTCTAATCTTTCTTAATTTTATCACTTCCACTTATATCTTATAACTGAAATGCTGTCATCTACTTAAACTTCTATTTAAGAACAAGTTAATGTATAAATGTTCATAGATGATTGTAGATGCTGTTATGAGCCATGGTGGCACAGTGGTTAGAGTGCAGTACTGCAGGCTACTTCTGCTGACTGCTGGCTAACTGAAATTTGGCATTTCAAATCTCACCAGGCTCAAGGTTGACTCAGCCTTCCATCCTTCTGAGGTGGGTAAAATGAGGACCCAAATTGTTGGAGGCAATATTCTGACTCTGTGAACTGCTTAGAGAGGGCTTGTAAAGCACTGTGAAGCGGTATATAAGTCTAAGTGCTATTGCTATAGTGGGTCTGGACAGAAAAAGGATATTTCCATTGCTAATAATTAAAAGCAGTTTTCCTACCCACTCACATGTCCAGAATTGAAAGGATCTTCTTTTATGATTGTTAGAAATTAAAACTATGATATTTTCTGTGAAATATATGTGCCATCCTACTAGATCTGACAAATTTAAATTAATGAAGAAGTCAACTTAGATGACTTTAGTGACCAGACAGAAATCAAACAACAATAAATGGGAGCCAGGGAAGCTCCATTTGCTCCTTAGAAACTAGGACTTAAATATATTTTCTCTAATAGAGAAAAAACATCAATTATTTTTATTGTGATCAAAGACCAACAGTACAATCTAATACTGAAGTTAATGATACGTCATCATTATGAATAGCTGCTACTGATTGTTTATCCACCTGATTGTTTTGGCATTTCTTAGTTAATGGTTATCTCCACCTCTTAAGGTAATGAATTCCACAAGATTATTATGAGTTGTCTGAAAAAATACTTGAGCTTCCTATTAATCCATTGGATGACCTGAGATTCCAGCAGAACTAGAAGACTGAAGGAGTAAACGCTATGCTTACCTTCTATATAACATATCTGATAGGCCAATCATAGGCCAATAAGTAAATTTTAAAAAATTCTGTGGCTGTTGGATATTTTTGACAGATGGCTAAATTTATAAGTTTTGACACATCCTAAAAGTCAGTCTTTAGTGAGATCTCAGTTACAAGAGAACATAATCCACTACTGACCTTCTATAACTGGAAAAGTCAAAAGATGGCAGATTTTGTCTAGCACATAATGAAATGTGAAATGCATTATGAAATGAGGCTATTTGCACATCTAGTAAAATATTGTCTCTTCTGATTGACATTAGCAGCTCAGAATATCATCTTTTACCTTTCCAATTTGAAACCTTAACTATTAATGTTTTGGGGCTATCCTGGCAAAAGTGAAATAGGAAACCCAGATTTTATCTCCCAATTCAGCCATTAATTAATTATGTTTGGTACAATAACTACCAAAGTTCCATAGATGCTGCTTAACTGCAGACAGTTTATAACAAATCTTTGAAATAATAGCAACCCAAAACGGTTTAATAGCAATTTTCAGCTTTCATGGAACAAAAACTTACCGCTGAGTTGTCTGTTCCTTCTGCAGTTGAAAACTCTGCAAGCATTTCTGAATTTGTGAGTTTTCCTGCTGAGATGTCAGCATTCAAGACAGTGAAACCAGTGCTTTTATTCCTGTACGTCTTCCTCTAACTAAGCATGCTGGAATGAACTCTACAAGCACAACAGGACTTTGTCCTCAAATTAAATTGATAATGAAAATTATTCTAATACTGCAGTCTCTTACACAGATTGGTGATTTCTTTTTCCTTTGAACATTTGAAGCATGTACTAGTATTCCTGAAATCATTTATATATTACATTATTAAATAAAGAGGTTTTTTTTATCCAGCATGTATTAGAAAGAAAATGATGTAATAGAAAATCAACAGGGGGTGTCTCTTGAGCAGTTTTCAAATGTCCTAGTAAGTAATCTCATGTACATCCTTTTAAAGCACAGGCTTGTATGTTTGCAGGTTGCCCAGCTGAAGTCTTCTACAGAGTCTGCTTTAGAGTGCTGGAAGAGTTATGATGAAGCCTGGGATGATATCAGGCTGTTGCTTGCAAATACTGTGTATTGCCTGGAGCATAGCAAGAACCCTTTCATTACAATGAAGTCACTGAAAAAGCAAGTGGAAGATCTCCAGGTATGCTTCACAAAGACCAATGTGCTGAACTCCATGGTTCCATAATATTCCTTCTTAAAAATAAGGAGCTTCTCTAGATATTCATGCCAAATGAGTATGTGGCGGTGTTGTACGATTGAATCATAACAGATATCCTGGGCCCATATGCTGTTCCTCCCACATACTGTATTTCTCCAGTTTGAAATGAAGTAGCAGAATGATTTATGCAAGACCTAAAAACCAGAGAATGAACATCAAGAACGAACCCTGATGCTTGATCCTACTTGGGGTAGAAAGCATAAGTCATGATTTTACAGATGAAATAAACCAGCAAATTGCAATTTCCTCCAACTTGGGAAAAGAGAAAATGATGTGCAATGAGCAAAATGAGAGGGAGCATGAACCAGCATCCTTTTGGGCAGGGGTCTCCAACCTTGGCAACTTTAAGCCTGGCTGGGGAATTCTGAGAGTTGAATTCCACCAGGCTTAAAGTTGCCACGTTGGAGACCCCTGCTTTAGGGATTATCTGTAGAAAGCTCTGGAGAATTAATCTGTAATGAGAATTGAACTCGATTAGTTTCAGGACTCTCACTTTGGGAGTAGCACATATTCTTTGTACAAAGTTGGTGAGTACATTTCTAAGCCCCAAAGGACCAGGGGGTGAAAGATGTTTCTGCTTTCTAAGCATCCTGAAAAGGAGTCTGGAAGACAACTCACCCACACCCACATACCTTTTACCAATCTAGAAAAGCATGCTCACCAATGGCAACCTTGTCACAGCCCACATTCTGCTAAATTGGTGAAAATATGCTGTCTTGGAAAGATGGATGTAAGGTAGTGTACCAATAACCATCTCCTCAAGCATTATCACATTTGTAACTAATTAAGTGGCATTTCTTTCCACAGTCTCTTCAAGATAAAACTGAGGGAAACAAAGAAATCTGGGCTAGACTCCAGACTGCTGTTGATAACCTGAAGAAAGTGTGTGATCCCTCATTCTCAGAGATTATTGAACAAAAACACGAAGAGGCACGCACAAGGTACAATACTTTTTCCCCCCTTTCACTATTTAGAAGTCCAACTTCAAAAAATTATTTCTGACGAATACAATTGCAGTTATTGCCACCAGACATAAGATACTGCTTAAGTTATGTAGGAGATCAATAGAATAGTTTTAATTTGGTCATCCTTATCTTTTAGGGACAAATTGATTGTATGAATCACTTTAGTTTGCTCTGCACACTGGATACTGTTGTGCTGATTGCCGCTGTTTATCTAAATTTTTGGAATGGTTTTTGCAATTATAGCCTTCCTAGGCAGAAAAATAAGAAAATGTGTTTTTTTTTAAAAAAAAGGATCTGGTGGTACCTTAAACTAAGGATTCAGTCTACCACCATTGCTTTAATTTCAAGCAGGAGATACGAAAAGGATTGTATTGTGAAAGTTTTTTTAAAGGCCCTCATGCTCTTCAAACTTTGTGTGCATGAAGCATCAATAAGTTTACAAAAGGATTTTCAGACTCTCCAATCTCACTCATTTTCTGTGGCACAAGAAATTCAGTCCATTCATATCATACCACTCCCAGTATCTGGCATGCACTTAGTTGCTTGCTCCCAGTTCCAACCAATACTTTGAATTGTACCCAGAAATAAATTTGATGCTCTGAGTAGAGATAAATGACAATGAAACTACTCGGAGTTCAAGCAATAGCGGAACAGTCACATTGCTCTTAGCCTTGCCAGAAGTTTATGCCAAAACACAACCAGTGTGTTTTCAGTCCCATAGCCAGGCTTAAAGCCAGACTGAAAATGCCCCAGATAATCCTTTTTCTTCAGGGTTCTATGCAACAATAGCTCTACCAACTTCTCAACAATCTGCTTCAAGAAGAGAAGGTTTCAGACAGGTTGTGTATTGTTCAGGTAAGGAGAAGGCGCACCACTGTCTCCTTCAAGATGGGCAGTACCAACCCTTTCTTGAGGCAAGTTGTTTGTGAGCTGAGAATTGAGAACACCCTCTTTGGAACTATCATTTGGCTCAGGAGGCAGGAGCTATAACCATGTTGGTTGGATTTCCTCTACAATATTACTCACGTGGGAAGAAATCCTGTGCTTGTTCCATCATTGCCTCCAATTTGACCGGAAACATCATATGAGAAATGGGAAGGCATTGGAGGGTGGAAAAAAGTATCTTCCTTGGAAATGAAGTTTCCCTCTGAAAGACATTCTTACTGCAAAGAATCCTTAGAGGCTTATTGGAGTTTAAGTAGAAATATTTTCAGCCTCCAGAACAAATTGCTTAATTCGATTGTTACAAATAAATCAGTGGATTTTGTTTTCTCATGTTGTTTTTTAAAAAAATAATGCTGAGTAATTTGCTTGGTCTTGTATTCCATTTTTATATCTTTTATAGGTGGATATTGACAAACAAAAATATTGAAGAGAAGCTACAGAAAGCTCATGCGCATTTGCACTTGTGGGAATTCTATACAGAGGTTTCAGCCAAACTAAACAAATATGAAGAACAGTATGATTCCCAGTTGATGCCTGATACACTTTCAAGCTGCACAATGGATTTTCTTAAGGAGAAGGCAGAGAATATAAAAGTAAGGATGGAAAAATGTAAGAAGAAGCCAATGTTTCTTTTTTCCTGACTTGAAAAAGAGCCAAGCAAGGTTGCTACCCTCACATAAGGGCAGGAACGGCAGTGTCTGCTTTTGTTGGAGGAGTGAGTAGCAGGGAAGGGGACTCTTTTTCCCTTCCTCTGCTGCCTCCTCCTTATGTCCCTCCCAAGTATGAGTCCCTTGCTGCCAGCCCACCACAGACATCATGTGATCACCATTGTCATCTCTATAACTTTTGCAGCAGTGCTCTCCAACATGCATGGTGGTAAAGGCAGCGATTGCTGTAGTGGAAAATGGCATAGGTTGTCGGTAGGAATATCTTACTTGTAGATATCTCCCATCAGGTTAATGTTTTACTGGAACCAAAAAAGAGAAAACCTTGGCTCTGTTCTTTCCAGAAGCCACAGGAGGCATCCAGCCCTGCTCTGTAGTGGGCCAGTTGGACTCCTAGAGCTCATTGACCTCACCCAGGTTCCTCTTCCATGAAAATCAAAAGTTTGCATAGGGAAGGGCTTGTACTTTTCCACTGAAAATCTGCTTTCCTGCCAGGTCTGTTTGATTTGGTTTCATGCTGCTTCAGCAGCACAATGATCTCAAGTTGATGTTCAGATGTAAATTATAATTGGAGGGCTATCTTAAGGCTAAAGTAAGGGAATTTCTAATCCATCACTTTATATTTCAAAGTGACCAGCTAGTTGCATTTGTAAAGCTAACTGGCTTAGAGGATTTTCCCAGCATATACCAAAACTTGACTGTCCATAGATACCAAATATCTCAATTTGGAATTGATTGGAGTGTTGTTTGTTGCTTTGTTTCAACAACAAAACAATTTGGCCAAAACAGTATTTGATCAAAATTCAAACTTCCATTTGTCCTGTAGTCTTACCTAATGCAATTTAAATTTTTATATGAAGAATTGTGGCCATGAAGACCACAAACTTAACTTATTAAACACAACTTATTATCCTTTTCGGGTCCTATTTTAGACTTCTGTTACTAACTTAGCAAAACTGTAATTTCACTTTTGGGATGCAAAATAGCACTCACCGACCACCAATGCTCCTCTTAATCAAATACTGATGATATTAAAGGTTGGTGAAGGAAACAAAGTCCATTTTTTATTATTAAAAATGTTCACTATAATTTATCTCTACAAAGGTGATTCAAAGAACATTAAAGCGCAACGACAGAACCACTGTGTTTTAAATGTCTTGGATCCAATCCTTGAGTCAGCTCATGTTGGTAAAGACTTTTGCCAGATGAATAATTATTCCAATTCACCCTGTGTGTATCAGGGTTATCTGTACTTTCCAAAGAACACATGCTTTCAAAAAAGAAGTGTAAACTATAGGTGGGGGAAAGCAAAAATCAATTATCTTTTCCCACAAAGATGTGGATGGGGAGTAAGAATTCCCAAACCCCTGATAGAGAATAAATCTGAATCTACCATTTATTCCAAGGAATTCAATTTCTTGCCAGAGTATCTAGGGCTTGTGGTCCTAGTCATGATTCCAAGCCAAAAACATTTCAGCTGGTTCTGAGTGCTTACCTTTATTACAACTTTCTTCTATGCCGAGATCTTTGACCTTAGAACTAAAAAAAAGGCGTGTACAGTAGTATTTGCAGGATCAGAGCCAGCCCACCTGCATTTTATATCAATTTAACAGATCTATACTGTAGGGGAAAATATTTCAGAATTTTCCCCAGTAATACAGTAAAAAGTAGAAACACAGCAGTAGAAATGCTTCTGCCGGGTGATAATAATATAGAAGCAGCTTTCTACAATATAATTCCATGACTTTGGACAACAGTTTTTTTTTTTTTTTTAAAGATAATTTTGTCAAACAAGAAGCAATTGGTAAAGCCATCTGGTGTTAATAGTCGTCCGTCCGCCCTACAACCTAACAAAAAATAGCAGTGGAGAGCTAAACAATTCTTCTTTTATAAAGAGTAATTCTAAAGAACCCTAATGGATGGGGATGATTCTTTTTTTTTTTTCATTTTCTTTTCAGTTGTGAATGACTATTAAGAATCTGTCGGACCACTTGTTGTGCTTTTAAGCCTAATCTTCTTTTTCCCCATGCTAACAGTTTTAGCTGAGGTTGAGGATTTAGGGTAAAGTTCTCTGCATTTTTGCAAATGGTTAGAAAAGTGTGCGTGGCCTTAATAAATTGCTCAGGAAGCCTAATGTGAAGAAATTAAAATGGACCCCTTCAGAGCAAGGAACTCATTTAGCCTGAAAAGCAGCAGTGAGAAGGGGGAAAAGGCTTAGGAAGCCAGACAAGCATCAATCCTATTGGCAAAATTTGTCGTTAATGGTAGTAAATTAGCATTTTCTACTTATTTGATGCCCATTAACTACAAAGCTGTGATTCTCATTCTCAAAAGCATGATTTTTAGGTAGCTGGTGTTAAATCGAAATGGTATTAAATTATATACTTTGGATGAGGTGCTCCTCAATTACATTTCCCCCTCCCTTTCCATAAAATAGACCTACCAAGCTACAGTTTTCTTAACTTTCTATTGCTCAGTCAGAAAGTTAAAGGGAATTAAGCCACCCCAAAAATGTTCAGGATCGAAGCTCTGGGGCCTCATCAGTCTGGTTAATCTAGGTTTTATGTGAAGACCATCTTATTGTCTTTCAGAAGATATAGTGGTTTTGTTCAAATATACCCTCTACCAAAATTAAGGTGCTTATGACTGGAGAGCATGGTTTTCGGTGCCATGGCTAGTTTGCAAATGGTGGCTGTCATAATTTATTGTCTGAATGGTGTTTTAAGGTACTGTGAGCAAATTCATGAATCAGATAAGTAAGAAGCAGCAAAGGTAATAGGACTTCTTGAGTTCTGGGACCTGATTCCACCAATTCAATACCTACAAAGATAACCATGCCAACTCTCTGCATGTATCAGTGGTGGGATATGACCGGTATGCCCCGGTATGGGTGTACCGGTGCCTGATGGAAGCACCAGGTACCATTCCAGTACAGTGCTCCGGAGGGCCCACCTGCCCTCCTTATCTGTATTTGAGCCGATGGGGCTTATGCACATGCACACAGAGCATATGGAGCCTGTGTGATGCTCCGCCGAGCAGCTGGAGTGTCACGGGCTGTAAGTACACATGCGCGCACTGTGTGCATGCTGCGCGCATGCATGTGGTGGATGCCTGGCCCTGATGCACTGTACCGGTTGCAATGGGATCCAGAACCCACCACTGGCATGTATATACCTCAAATCAGTTGTACTTTATTGAGGTATCTTCTAGTTTGGTTAGCTTGTTGTAATCTCCTCATTACAAGGATATCATATCTAGAAGACGCAAGATAGGAATAAGGTTGGACTGATGTATTTCCCTAATCTGATTTTCTAAGCTCAGACCTTTTCCACTTTTAAAAATTTACATGTGAAGTTGCATAACATTCTCCACACCTCTATTCTATAGACCTACCCAGTTCAATGTGTCTTATTCCTCAATTAGCACATTCTAGAGCAGGGCTGTCAAACTTGTGACCCTTAGGCCAGATGCATCACATGCTGGCCACACCCCCACCCAGTTTAGCGAAGGGGGTAAGTCCTGATATTTCATGTGACAGTGCCATGACAACGCAAGTTTGACACCCCTGCTCTAGAGTATAGTTGAAAAGTTTGTTCTTTTGTGCTTTCCAGTTTAAGTTTATAAAGATTGTTTATATTTGCTATTACTATTGTTATTGTAACATAGTTTTGAATTATAAGATCCTAGGTTAAAGTGGGGCACATTTTTTTCAGCTACATGTAACAGTTTTAGCACTGGATTTATAGCAAGGAACACTGCCCCAGTGGAAGCTGAGATCTAATTTGGGATACCTGTGTAATATTCACAAAGTGCACCTCAGCTGCATTGTATGAACATTCTCGATTTCTTTAGTTCCAATAGCAGTGAAAAATCAGGGCTTGAAAATGAGCATAGACAAAAGACAGTAAGAGTTAGATGAATAGTTCGCTCTTCTAGTACAGTATTTCCTTGTAATCAGCCATTTAGAATCTTAGTTTTGGGGTCTTGCATTGCTTCTCTTAAGGCAAAATTCCTTTATTTTTAGAAACTGCAACTTGGCCTTCAAGACATCAAAGAATATTATCTTCAAGCTTCTGAATCAGGGGATAGTATAACTCAGTTGGCTGAACCAGAAACACAGAGCCTTCTTCAACAGAAAGCCCAGCCACTTCAAAGGATCTCCTCTCTGGAAAAGATGCTACAGATGAAAGCAGATGTTTATCAAGTACTGCTAATTGTTTGACATAAGCATTTTCAAAAGACAGTGGGAAGTTGTATAGTTTTCTTGAATGCTGTATTTAGAAAATATCTTTCATTTATATATCTGGGTTCCCCACACATTGGGTATAATGGGCCACCCTGGATTTTTGAGAAGGTATTTTGAGCTTTCGCTGCTCATTTATATTTTTTCAAAAAGCCATGCTTTGGAGAGAAATATGAAAGCTGGTGTTTGATATATAGCAAGCTAGCTACTAATAATGGTTGTTTTTTTTAAGTTAGTGAGTCAGGAAACAGATACATAGGGAAGATCTGTGGGCATGCTGACATCTTGTTGGAGACAGCAACTTAATTGTCAGAGCAATAGACAATTCAAGGTTGTATATGATGCAACGTTTGGCCTTTTCAATTTTTGTTTACATTTTTAAGTGTTAAATCTCTGGTTTATGGCCACAGCCCAATTTATTTCTGTTACTTGCCATTTTTTTCCAGGTATAAACTATATTTTTGAAACTATATGCTAAATCAGATAAAATACCAGTTTTTCGCAATTTTTCTTCCCTCAGTATGGTCTTTTACAACTGGAGAATTTTGGGAATTCCTTGGAAAAACTGGAAAATCATGTTAAAGATTCCACAGAAATACTGGACAATTTATGTGAAAACAATACAAATTTGGAGTTCTTCATGGTAAGCTTATATTTAGAGTAGTATACAAACAATTAAGACAATTAAGGCAATGAAGTATTTCCTGTGTGTTTTGAACTCTTAACTCCCATCCACCCAAGGCAGCATGATATAATCAGAAGGTACTTTGGGAGTATGAATATATGAAAGGCATCAGGTTGCAAAACTTTTGAAAGGCACCAATATTCAAGCAAAATGCATTCCTTTTCTTAGTACACAGCCTTCAGTTTCCTTAGCTTTTTCCCCATTCCATTCCCACTCCCAATTGCAACCATATCATTTGTACCTAAATGTGTATTTGTTTCCATGCCTAGATTGGATTGTGCATATTTCACTCTTTAGCTGCACATGGAACATGCCAAACTAGGTGTCCCAGCCATGAAATGATTGAATGTGACACATTTTTACATCTTTACCCAGAAGTCTTTCTGAATTGTTACCTGACAGAGAACAGAATAACTTCACATGCCTATAGTTCCTCATGAGGCATGTTTTCACATGCGCTGTAACTCTGAAAAGGAGTTTACAAAGAAGAGATCCTGCCTGGGAAATGTAATTCAGCAGTCCTGATGTACAAAACTCAATTGTGGCCAGTTGTATTAACTCAATTAACCAAATTAGCTTAAAACAGGGCAACCTGTGACCACCATTCTGAACTATTCTGAAGGAAAGCAAGATATAAATTAGTCTAACAATTGTAATTATATTATTATAATATAACTCTACATTGTGTAGGAATAGTCAGATAGTAGATTTTGGTGTTGAGCAAGGATTTCTGACTTTTGACCTTTTGAAAATAAGTTTTGGATTTCTTTATTTTGTGTGAAAATAGTGCATATTCTGTTGAAATGTTCAAATTCCTGGTTTTCGTTCAGAATTATTTCGTTCCAAATGTATAGCGTTGCTCCTGGTACTATTTAATGAACTTCCAGTAAATAATGAATGTTTATTAGTTCCCAAAAACTGGAAGGGGGGGAGGAGGAGCTCTTGGCCCCCCCATTATATTTACCCTTCTCTGATATTGCAAACTAGTCTGAAAACTTGCCCCATTAATCAATAATTATTAGGGTAATTTCTATGGTATGCAACATTGTATAGAGAGATCTGGAGATCTTTGCTCCTCTTCGTACACCAAAGAAGTGATTTGCTCTTTTGGGTAACATTTGCAAGAAATCAAACCAACATGATTTTCTAGTATTTAATTTGTTTGTTCTTTTCAGAGCCAGTTACTGAGTCTCACATCTTTGTCTCCTGAAATGGAGAGATTGAATGAAGTCAGCTTTAAATTGCCACTCTGTGACTTCACTGTAAAGAGATTACAAAACCTTAATCGGCAGTGGACTCAGAAAACCGCTCTAGTTCTGGAGCAATGCAGGTAAAGAGGACTTTTTTTCATATTATGATGTAACTTCATCATAGTAGTTTATGTCACTTTATTTGCACCCAAATTGTTTAAAGTCGTGAAAGCTTTGTGATTAAACTATATTGTATATATGATGTTTTTCTCTACAGCTATTTTCTATAAGCAGCCTTATTCATTTTTTAGTTTTGGTTACGGTCTAGTAATCTTTCCATGCAACACTCATGGAATAGTTCCATGAGATAGGATTTTTGGAATTTGCTTTTGAATGTATGAACTGCAGCCCAGTGAGTTGAAAGAAAAATTTAATAATATGCAAGTGCTAGAGAGCACATAAGACCGCATCAAAAATGAAGGCATTCAAGTTATAAAAAGAGTTTATCAGCGAGTGGGATATTTAATCTGTATCCAAAACTGAGCAACCAAATTCTCCTTCCGAGCTCCCATGCTGAAAGGTAGCAGACTAGCTGTTCTAGACCTTTTCCTTGCTGTGTGTCTCCCACCTTCATGTATTTAGGGAAGCCCAAGCTGTGAAAGTTACACATAGCTGTCATGATTAACAACCATTGATAAGCCTCATTGTCCATGATGTTAACTAAATTTCTTTAAACTCACCTAAGTCAGGTGTTTTCAGTTAGTTGCCATGGACACTAATCTTTTGAAAAGCCCTTCTAACTTCTACTTTTGACCCCCTTTTTTTTTTACAGATTTTGTTTAATTTTAAAACAAAATTAATGGGAAGCTTGCATGTTGCATGCAGAAAATTCTGGACAGAATCTATAAGCCAAATAAATAAATAAAATTCTTAACTCTCAGTCTTTGTTTATGAATGTACATGTGTACATCCCAAAACAAAAGTAAGGTGGAATTTAATAATTATCGAGACCTACAGAGTATAGCAGAGAAAAGCAGTTCACTAATTTGCCTTTTAATAAACTATTCTTATGACTGGTCATATCCTTTATAATTGCCATTTTGGTTATAGATCCCTTTCCTCCTTCATAATAGCTATTTCCTTAAAGTGTCCATTATATACTATCAATGTTTTAACCCTCAAATATGAGGAATCTCTGATTTAAACTGCAGCCTCCAAGCTGTTCTTCCTCAGTGGTTGCTTTAAGTTTCAGATTAGATTTGCTGCCTTAATCCTCAGGCAATCGTTCACTACTTTGTACCCTGTAAATACGGTGGGCTACAACTGATGGCTGGAAATGAAGAGAATTAGAACCTATGTCATTGGGAAAGTACCAAGTAAAGGAAGGCTACGGTAGAGATAGGTCTACAGGATCATGGATAATATATTTGAAATACAACAAGTACACAGCTCTTGAAACCTATAAGATAGTCATACCTAATTTAACCCCCAACTAAGTCTGTGGTGAAGTCATTTCATTTCTTTTTTTAATTGCAGTAAACTGCAGAAGCATCAATCTGATGACAAGAAATTTCTTCAGAAATGTCAGAATTGGGTGCAGTTTCTAGAGAAAATGAAAGAGAGCCTGAAAGAGAACTTGGCGGATACACTTGAGAAGCTGCAAGAACAGCAGAAAGAATATGAGGTGATGTTTCCAGATGTTTGGCCTTGATCCAAAGAACTAGGTGTTTGGTATTTTCAGTATCAGGCCTGAAGGCATATTATTGCCACTGCTGATATTCTTTCAGTTCATTGAACTATAACAATGATTAAATGTTATTCATTACTTACAGATATTACAAACAGAGATTTCCATTAATCAGCAAATTTTCAGTTGTCTTGGGTCAAAAGCTCTGAATATGTTGGAATTGGGAGAAGCAGAAAACAGGTAAAATACATGAGTTGATGGTGTACACCCTAGTTTTTATGGCATTCAGTAGAAATGATGTGAACTCAAGTGTCAATCATTTTGGGGAAATTAAAGCTGTCATTATAGATAGCTCTCAACGTATGACCAGTTGCTCAGCAATCACTCAAATTTTTATCATGAACTTCCCAGGAGCTATTTAGGATCTAGATTTGAAGTTCCAATTCCCCCCCCCCCCGGCCAGTCACATGATCGCATTTGGTGCACTTGGCAGCTAGTCCACACTTACAACTGTTTAGAAAGTCTTGCAGTCCTGCGATTGCAATTTACAACTTCTGTTGCCAGAAACCCGTATTTGCTTCCAGTTTCTGGCAGTGCCCATTGCCCAATGGACTCACTTATTAAACACATTTGCTTAATGATCACAGTGATTCACTTAACAATCATCACAAAAAAGATCATAAATCGGGACAGTCATATGGTGACCCACTTAATGACTGGCATGACTTATGAGTGTAATTCCAGGCTCAATTAGGAGGGCTATCTGTATAAATTAATAGATATGGAACAATTGGGAAAGCCAAAGACCTGATCTTAGACTTAAGTAATACCCAGTGCAGCTAACACCCATGGTGGAACACAGGACTGCAGAACAATACCCAGCACCTTCTGTTCATCAGTGCTGTTCTGCACTATTCTATATAACAACTTCTATTGTTTCACATCTGTAATTTCCTATGCTTGCTTATCTGGATGCCAGACCCACTGAATTTAAACTTTTAGGACGAATGTCTCCACTTCTGCATATGCTGTATATTCATATTAAACTTACTGTATTTTTCAGAGTATAAGACGGACCTTTTTCCCTCAAAAAAGGGGGTGAAAATCTGGGTACATCTTATACACTGAATACAGCATTTTTGGCCTCCCGAAACCCCGCCCCCTTCACCAAAATGGCCGTGTACAGCCTTAGGAGGCTTATAAAGTGCTCCTGGGGGCTGGGGAGGGCAAAAATGAGCAAAAAACGGGCCATTCTTTGCTCGTTCCCCCCACCCACCCAGGCCCCAGGAGCACTTTATACATCTCCTACAGGCTATGCATGCCCTTTTTTTGAGAAAAAAAATTGGACCAATTTTCATGAAAAATGGGCTCTTTTGGTGAGGTCTGCAGAGTACAAAACTTTTTGGTGTGTCTTATATTTTGAAAAATACAGTAATCAACCTTTTCCAAAATAGTTCATTTCCGACCGTAAGAGCTACAATGCCCAGAATTTCCAAATAGCTGACAGACCCTTCCTTTCTGATATTAAATCAGATAAATCAGTATAATAAATACAAATAAATCAGTATAATTGTTACTTAGCTTTCAACAGCTCTTCCTTATCGTAATGAGGTATGAAAGTCAGCTTTTTTATGGGTCATAAATTTCATAAACTCCAGTTTACATATGGGAGCTCAAATCCAAAACATCTGGAGAAAACTTGGCTGCCTATGCCTGAAGTTTTATATTTAAAAATAACACTATCTCCATTCCTGCTGACAAATCATGAAGTCAGTTCAGTTTATTTACAGTCCAAGACCAATAACCAAAAATACATAATTTTGTTTGTGTCTGCATATGTGGGTGAAAACACAAGTCTGAAACTGCTCATGATAAGAGCATAAGACAGCTTCTATAAACCAGAGGTGTTGATAAAAAGTTTGCAACCTTCTTCTGAAAATTAGTTGTAAAGAAGGCGTTTGGTTACCTCATGGCCATAAAACAACCAGGTTTTCTAAGAATGAGTAGCATAAGTTTTATTTGCTGTTGTGTTTAAGGGGGGCATTTTAATGACACACTTTTACAGTTTCAACCTCCATATCCGTGCATACAAAAGTTCAGTGTTCAGCAAACTGAAGCGGATTTGGCACTCTTAGGTGGCCACATCCTATAGCTGTGATGGTGAATCTATGGCATGCATGTCTCAGGTGGCATGCGGAGCCCTCTCTGCGGGCACGTGAGCCATCGCCCAGCTCAGCTCCACCATGCATGCATTCTGCATCCCACTGGCCAGCTGATTTTAGAGTCTCTGCTGTGCATGCGGGAGGAGTGCACACGTGCATGGGGTGGTGGGGGGTACTGCACACACATGCATGGGGGGAGCTGGGGAGGGTGCAGGGGGTGTACTCCATTTTTGGTTTCAGGAAGCTTCAGGGAGGCCTGCTAGGACCAAATCAGGCTCAGGGGGATTGCACAGAAGCATGGGGGAGCATGGGAGTTAGTGTGCATGGGGGTGGCGGGGGGAGCATGGGGGTCATGAACATATACCGTGTGTGTGGGTACACACGTGTGCACTGCCACATTCACATGCATGATTTTGGCACGTGAGGAAAAAAAAAGATTAGCCATCACTGACCTATAGTGATATAGGATATCTGCTAAATAGCACCCTGGATCCAAAGCCATATGTCTACAGTGTGATGGTAGCATATGATACTGTATTAACATATCACTCTGGTTATTTTAGAACTGAGTTTATCTCCAGGCTCACTCTGCTGAAGGATCAGTGGCAGAGTGCAGTGCGGATGGCTCATCGGAAGAAGAGTGACATTGACAGCCTTGTAAAGCAGTGGCAAAAATTCACAACCTTACTGCAAGATCTCACAAAATTCCTCATGGACACGAACAGCTACATAGCTGCCGTGAAGAGCCAGGAGAAGTATCCCTTGGATCAAATTAGGAACCTGAATCACAAGTTGAAGGTTAGGCCTCGCACTAACTATAATGCATAGAAATCAACAATGGACCGCAATAGCGCATTTCTGGAAAATAAAAATGGGGTAAACCTGGATAGATGTTTATTTATTAAATGTATACGCTGCCCACCTCACAATCTGAGGCAACTCTGGTTGGCTTATAATGTAATAAAATAAAGATATAAAAACAATGTAGAAGCAGATTAAAATGACAAAAGATTAAATACAGACTAAAAGACTACAGATTTGGACCAGAGCAGGTAGTAGAAGTACCTTCTCTGTCACTGCAGCAACCACCTCCAGTCTACAGCTTCTCCATCAGGCCAACTGGCAAAACCAGGTTTTAAGGCCATTACTGAAAGTCAGCAGGGTAGAGGTAGATCTCACCTCCAGTGGCAAGATATTCCAAAGAGTGGAGGCTGTAGCAAAAAAGGCTCTTCTCCTGGACCTCACCAGCTGAAATTTCTTGGCTGATGGGGTCCACAGTAGGTCCCTCCTGCCAGAATGAGTGGAATGGGCCAATTCCATCATGGTGAGATGTTTCTTCAGGTAATCAGGACACAAGTCATACAGGTGATGACCATTTTGAATTCGACCTGGAAGCAAATTGGTAGCTCCAGTAACAGTAGAGTTACATGTACTACCCTAGAGGTCTCCAAAACTGTCTATGCTGCTGCATTCTGGACCAACTATAGCTTCTGAATACTCTTCAAGGATAGCCCCATGTAGAGAGCATTGTAATATTCCAAACAAGACATGATCAGAGCATGAGTGACTATGCGCAGGGCCTCATGATCCAGAAATTGCATTTCATCCTCATATACATCACTTGTATTTCTTTCTGGTATAAATTAGATTAATAATAATTACAACTTAATGTTGAATTATTATAATTATTTATAATTGCAAATGTTGGAATTTTTTTTTTTTTACTGAACTGCCCCTAGAAATTTTTATTTTAACATTGTTGACTATAGAATGGGCCTGTTTATAGATACATTGTTTTTTAAACTAAATTGATTATTTTCTTTTGGGGTTTTAAGCAACTTCAGTACAATTTTCTCACTTAAAATGGTATAGTAGTTAAAAAAATGTATTTCTTTTTTTAAAAAATGAAATTGGTGCTTTCCTGAAGCATGCTAGTCATTGCATATATTGAATCTCTTATCCCCAGGAGCATACATTTTGGGGGCAATACATCTTTAGGCATGGGTTTGACGACTTGGCTATACCAGTATAAGAAACTTACATTAGCAGCTGTCATCTCAGCTTCTTTCTCCCTCCTGTGGAATTGTGATAATAATAGATTTCTGGGAGGATCAGTATGTCTTTCATTCAGGCATAATGCTAACCAGAGGTGGCTAAACTTTTTTTTTTTTGCCAAGGACTGCATTTTAAAAATATTTTTAATTACTTTCACTTCCCAGGACCACAACAGAAGTGCTAGAAAATCTATAGTAATATAGAAATGCATATTTCCTACTAAAATTATTCAAGTAATTCTGAAGGAGGTTTTGTTTTCAAATAATTGTGTAGATATTCTTTTGCATCTATTCATGTGTCCTTTCAATACCCTACCTGATGATCTTTTAACCCTAACAAAAATATTATATTTGATGTAATGATAACAGTTTGGGGTTTATTTGCTTTCTTGGTAGAATAAGGAAATACTTCAAAAGAGGTGGCAAACCAGATATTCTTTAATCTTGGATATTGGGGAAAATTTACTTGGCATGGTTGCCCCTGAAGCAAAGGCTGCCATGCAGCTGGAGATGAATAAGTTGCGAACTAATTGGGACAACACACAACTTCAGCTGGAGAAGATTACCAAGCAGTTTCAGGGCACCATACAGGTATCTTGCATAAACCAGCTATCTTTATTCTATAATAAATCAATTGGGTCTAGAGTTCATCTTTTTGTGTGAATTTGCAATTTGGGAAAGGTTTTTTTTGTTTATTTACTTACTGCAGTTCATATACCAGAAAATCCAGAAAATCTCAATCTCTTTTGCTGCTTAATTCTTGGATTTACTGCTGCTAGAGACTTTTTTGAATATATTTAGAAAATGCTTTAATATTGAATTGTGTTCTGTAGCTTCTTATAAATTTGCTATTATAGTTGTTATTTGCGGAGTATTTTTCTATAAGATAGGGAGATAAGTTAGTAGATTTGTTGGGGATATTATTATTATTATTATTTATTTAAATGTGACTTTTATTCTGTATAATTTGTGTCTACGATTTTGCTATTCTGTTTTAATTTATAACTGCAGTACAGTAAATGCTTAAATAGTTATTCTTTCAAAGATCATCTATGATTGCAGAAAAATACTACTAGACTAGTAACCCAGAGCATTGCTATTGTGTCTAGCTAATGCTAGTCTGGTTGTTTAAATATAATTTGCTTTTGAGGCAAAAAGAAGTTCTGCATCCAAATTGCTCTTGTTGTTTTGCTCATTCTTGAGATCATAGAACTGAAAGGAACCATTGGAGCCCGTGAGTTTGCCACTTGCTGTACATAGATACCCAAATAAAAGCATTTGGATATCTAGCATGTACTTGCACACATCCAACGAAAGGCAATTGCATACCTCTCTTGATCATTAGTTCTACCATAAAATTCTCTTTCATTATGAAGATTTTTCTAGCAGAAATCTCAAAGAATAGCACATTTGCAAATCCATGCAAAAATTATGAGAAGGTCAGAATGCATGCATTAGCTATAGGCAGATAATAAAAGGCAAAGAATCTTTGTGGATACCCTGTTTCCCTGAAAATAAGACCTCCACAGATCATAAGCCCAATTGGGCTTTTGGGTGCATACGCTAAAATAAGCCTTTCCTTGCAACACAGCAGCAGCCATGAAGCAACCACACTTGCCACTTCCTGCAGCTCAAAATAATAAGACCTCCCCAAAAATAAGGCCAAGCACTTATTTCGGGGATCAAAAGAAAATAAGATCTTGTCTTATTTTGGTGGGAAACACAGTACTATTTTTCTTCCTCTGTGTTATAAGGAGAATCCAAAATGTATTGGAGGTTATCTGATAGCAGCAAAGCTCCTACCTATTAAACAATATTTATTGCTCATCACGAACTCATTTTTCTTCTTTGAAATTTCAGACGTGGGAGAACTGTGAAAGGCAAGTGAAGGACTTGGGCCATGTTTTACTAGAGCTCAAAGGAAGCATAAACAAACCTCTTCCTATAGAACATGATGCATTGCCAGCAACCTTGGAACAAATAAAGGTATGTCTATGAAAGCCAAGCTCTTGAACAGTTTGAGGAACACCCATTTTAATATTTTTCACTGATCTAATTCAAGATATACCTGCACAACAATTCTTGATGTTCTAAAACAAGTTCTAAATTGGATTAGAATCCTGGAATAGTGCAAATGGAACTGTTCTGAAATTAATGGGGGAGTAACAGAGACTTTATCTCCAAATTGAGGAGAAGATACAGTTCTTCAGGTCAGAAACAATGATATATTGAACAAAGAAGTTGATTGTCTTGCTCCACTGAGATTTCTGGACCCTGCTTACCTGCAATCACTATTATTAATTGAAAAATAATGAATGTGACATAGCATTTTTTTTAAATTTCACAAGAAACCTTCAGAGTTGCTATTCAGTAAAATGGTGCATGTTGTTCATTTTGGTGTTAGTGAATTATGTGAAATGAGACTCAGTCAGCAGCAGTGCAAAAGTAATTGTGCAACTATCTAGGTAGCTAGATTTGTTTGGAAGTTAATCCCTATGAATTCAACTGACTGTATTTCAAATTATTTTACCCTGGCTTTCTTTGACTTAAGTCACTTTTAGTTGAAAATAAGCATTATCCATTCCAGTGAATGTTATTTCAAATAAACACCCCCCCTCCCTGAGTTTTTAAATTATAGAAAAGTAACTTTTTAAAATTTCTTCTGGGAAAAAATAGTGTCAGAGATGTCATGCTACATCTTAAGTAATTCTTTATAACACTATACATTTTTAAAAATTTGAGGCATTCAGGAACTCTTTGTGGGCTTAATATTTGAAAATGACCCATTTCCTCTTCTCTCTGGTTGCCTTAATTTTAAGCAGCAACCAACAACAACAAAACAAAGACAAGATCCCAACACAAAAGGCCCTGCTCTCTCTCGCTCTCTCGCTCTCATATGGAAATTGCTATCCTCCTTTCCCTTCCCTCTTGTATAGACCAATCATAAGATTAACCAAAAGGTTTGTAGAAAAGAGAATCGAAGGCAGGCAGGCAGGCAGGCAGGCACAAATGCTCACTCCCACCCACCCCCTTTCCCACCCTCCAGGAACTGGTTCTGAAAGGGCTGTTGATTTCCCCTTGATGTTTCCATGCAGGTACTGGAGAAATCACTCACCAACTGGAGCCAAAATGCAAAAGAACTTGATGCACAAAAGGTGAAACTGGCTCAATTTATCCTCCCAGAAGATGTGATGCTATTGAGAGACCAAATTGAACGTTTGCACAGCCAGTGGGAAGAACTCTGCCTCGGAGTAAGTAGTTTATTTGGATGTTTGAGATGGGGCATTGCAAGGGAAAGTGAATATTACTCTCCAGTTTTGTGTAAAGCAACACAAGATAAGCTTGCAGGATTTAAAGCCCTATGGTTTTCTAAACAATACTGTAAGCAAATGTAGCCTTTTTGTGGCTGTGAACAACAAAAAAACCCCACCCTGCTATTCTCCATTTGTGGCCACAGTGTTCCCCCAAGTTCTGAAAGTTTTGAGCAACAAGGAGCTAGAAGTAGATCAGTGACACGGACTATCTTTCAAAGTGATCTGAAATGGCCCATAAGAGAAGGGCCAAATAGATGGTTATTCCTTATATTTTTCACTGCATAGTTTTCTATATTTTTAAAAGGTGCCTCTCTTTGAAATTCCTCAAACCTGAATTTGTTCTGCGTGTTGTAGATGGAGGTTTCAAACACTGGGAATGATCACACATTTTCTTCCATTACTTCTTACTCTTACATCTTATTGTGCCTCACAGCTGTGCATTACATTTCTTGAAGGTCAGGAATGCAATGCGACACAGTAATCTTAAGAAATCAACCCCAAGTTCTAATCTGAGGCAGTGAGATCCCATTGATTGAGTTCCCTCCTCAGCAATGTCTATTTGCTGCTAATAGTGCTATTTTGTTGTCTTATTGCTTTTTAACATTTTAAAAACTTGAAATAAACTGGTGCATTTAAATTGCAGTAGGCCTTACTTTGAATAAGTATGCTGGATTTAACTGTGTGGCTACAATCATAATACATGTTTAACTAGTATCAGTTAATTCTTTCTAGGTTCCTTTCTCATATCCAAACCCAACATGAACTATTAACTAGGTTTAATGTTTAAATTTTAACCATTTTGAATCTAACCTTATTTGTTGATATTTATCCTGCTTTACTATTTTTTTGTTTTGGATTCTAGACACTTTGCCCACTATACAAGAAATGGGTTCAGAAGTGAGAAATTATTATTAAGGCCAGATAAGGTCTGATTTTGCAGTTGTTAAACTAAACAATGCCATGATTTGGGTTCATGTTATCCAACACATAGTTTTGCTTAATGTGACTTTTCAAATCATGGGTCTGATTATAGTTAAGGAGGAAAGATTTTATAATCAGTAACCATGGGATGATACGATTTAGTTTATCTTAATCCTAATCCAGCATGACATTAAACTCTACATGTTGTATAAAGCCATCTGCCAATAGTTAACCCTCTCATCTATGGGATATGGGTAGCTTGCTGATCATACTTAGAACTAATTATAGCTTAGCCTGCTGCATGAATATTCAGTGAATTAATGGCAAAAGTCTGATTCCCAAGTTTATATTGTGATGGGTCTGTTATTCAGAAAACTAAGACATGATTAAAGAGAAAAAAACTGCATCAATCCCTCATCTTAAGTTAACTTTAGCCGCACCATGCTTTAGGTGCAAAAAATGGATAATTAGCAGGCCCCATTTTCTTTCCTACTGATATCCCTAACCCTAAAATGAAATCTCGAACAAAAGCATATTGTTTGAAAACAATTAATGGAAAAGCCCAACCCCTGGCTATGTTAAAAGCGAGGCAGTGCAGCTGCCCAAAAGCCCCTCAGAATTAACCAGCCAGATGCTCCTGCTGAAAGAAAGATGAAAACAAACAGCAGATGGACTGTCTGGAGCAAAGAGGCGGGGAATATCAAGGGCAGGGTTTTGGCATGCCAACACAGTAGGGAGCAGTACAGAGGAGTGTATAGGTTGCTCCAGACAAAAGACAATTTAAAATGGATGCAAATTTTCCATATGCTTGTTAACTTATAGAGATGCAAATACCAAATCTGTTACTCCAGAAATATAGTGCCCTTCAATTTATCCAGAAAGCTTAAAGGAAGGTAACTTTATCTGTTGATGACAATAATCATTGTTGTTTCTATCATTATTTTATATAGTATTATTCATATTGATTATATTTTATTTTGTACTCAATATTTTAAATTGCTTTACATTGCTGAGTTATTGGGCAGAAATATAAAGATACAGGCAGTCCTTGACAGTTTGTTTAGTGACCCTTCAAAGTTATAATGGCACTGAAAAAATGACTTATGACCATTTTTCATACTTACGACTGTTTCAGTATCCCTGTGGTCATGTGTTCAAAATCCAGACACTTGGCAACTGACTCATATTTATGACGGTTGCAGTGTCCTGGGATCATGTGATTACCTTTTGGGCCCTTCTGACAAGCAAACTCAAAGGGGAAGCCAAATTTACCTACGCATAGGCATAGTGCTCAATTTTGCCACTTTAATGGACTGACAAGTGAGATGATCTGATGTTTTCTGGATAGGCTTTACATTTCTTTGTTATATCAAAGATGTTTCCATCACTATCCAAAAATGGGGAAAATATCATTTGTAAGTGAAGGAATTGTTTGAGAGCGTTATTGGATTCTGCAGTGAAATCTGTAGGGGAAAATATTCTTTTTATCTGCTCATGGATTGCATCAGTAAACTTTGGCTCCCCCAGAAATTTAATATTTTAAAATTAAAATTTAATTAATGTCATCTATATCTTCCTCCATAGGTTTCTCTGCACAAGCAAGATATTGAGGAAGGACTCAATGCCTGGATTGTGTTCAATGAAAAAAATAAGGAACTATGTACTTGGCTGATGCAGATGGAAGAAAAAGTCCCTCAGTCAGCAGATATCAGTGTTGAAGACATGATAGAGAAGCTGCAAAAGGTGAATAAACTTTATTGATGTAAACAGAAGTTTATTCTTGCTTAGGCATGCTTGCCATAATGAAGTTTTAGGATAAATCAATAAGAACTAACTTAAAACATTGTGACTTGATCTTCTCCTTTTCTCATAACTGCAAAATGAATAAATCCTTAGTCTTCCGTGGTGATTGTTTTTTGGTTATTTAAATTGATGCTTAACCTTTATTTTAAAAAAGCTTACAACTTATTATAATATGAGGGTCCCAGAGCTTAAGTGTACAATTGAAAAGTTGTGATACACAAGGAAAAAGGGAGATAGATGGAGGAAAAAGATAAAATGTAAACTTAAGTATTTTTTCTTCAACTTTCTTCAATTTTGTGTAACAGTCATCTGGGAGAAATTAATGAAAGGGCCAGCTGTTTGTTTACAGTAGCTAGAAGGCCAAAGGCAGTTTATCAACAGAGGTGATATAATGGTTAGACTTCTTTCATTTTTCTGTGCTTAGTAGGCTGATGGTAGAACTAATATTTAAAGGCAATTCTCAAAGTCTGTTTGGCCTTCTTTTAATATTTAAGACAGTGTTTCTCAACCTTGGCTACTTGAAGATGTCTAGACTTCAAGTTGCCAAGGTTGAGAAACACTGATTTAAGACAATGCCTTATTTGATACAAGCTGAGCTCCTGGTCAAGGATCTATCTGTGTAATTTCCTTGGCAAAAGTTTGAAAGTTACTTACAGTTGACTTCTTCCAGGATATTTTTTCAACTTCCTCATCTGTCTAGCAGCTTTATGATTCAAGGGGTTCATTCAGACAGCCTCTTTACCACTGCTCCAAGGGAGCTCACTTAACTTTTGCAGAGGACACAGCCCCACAGAGTTTCCTCCATTTTTCCATCTGGCTGCTGAGACAGGCTGAAAACAGGGGTGGGGATTGTGTCCTGTGGAACTTCAGTTGCTAAGGAGAGCCCCTTCCAGTCCAGTTCTGTATCCCTAGGATCATTTCTGCTTTAGTTGCCAGAGAGAAAGAATCTTATCCTGCAGCTATTCTTTACGGGGTTCAGAAGACTAAATGTGAATCTTCTGCCAACAAAGAAACATGATGAGACTTTTCTTCTATTAAGATTTGGTTCAAGGATAATGACTTGCTTGTCCAGGACCAGGTTGGAAAAGGATCTCGGACTGTTCAACCTCACCCCTCCACCCCTGTGGTAGCTCCTTTCAGCCGATTGACTCCTCCTTCCCATTTAACTAGCGGAATGTTTTGCTAGATTAGGTTAATAGTAATCATAACCTTTTAAATGAATACTTTATTTTCATCCAATGAAAGGGAAGCATTAATAAAGTAGAAGAAGGAAAATGCAATCCAGGTTTTCTGGCTGAGGCTTAGAGATAAAATAAGAGGGAGCTGGTTACAGTATTTTTAACACAACCAACTATTCTGGTTTTTGTTTTTTTACTGTGAAAATATTAGATAAACTTCTTTCTATAGAAATCTAACTTTTGTTTCTGCCTTTTCCATTTCATGCAAAATATGTTACTTTAAAAGTTTAAAATTCTCTTGTTTAGGATTACATGGAGGAAATCAATTTGTTTAATGAAAGTCAATTAGTTCACTTCAAGCAAATGGGCAATCAACTGATCAAGTCTAGCAACCAAAGTAGAGGGGCTGAAATTGAAGAGAAACTCAACAAAATTAATGACCGCTGGCAACACCTCCTTGATATCATCGGAGGAAGGTTAGTCTGTGTTCATTAGTTGGCATATAAGCCTAGTAGAATTATAAAAGAAATAACAACTTGAGTAGAAGTTTGTCTGAAATGGCATAGAATGTCCTGCTTGAGCAAGGAGTTGGACTAGAAGACCTCAAACTTCCCTTCCAACTCTATTATTCTGTTAGATTGATTTATGCATTACATTTTAGAATAGAATAGAATACAAACAGAGTTGGAAGGGGACCTTGATGGTCTTCTAGTCCAACCCCCTGCTTAGGCAGGAAAAACTACATCACTTCAGACAAATGGTTATCCAACATCTTCTTAAAAACTTCCAGTATTGGAGCATTCGCAACTTCTGGAGGCAAGTTGTTTCATCGCTTAATTGTTCTAACTGTCAGGAAATTTCTCCTTAGTTCTAAGTTGCTTCTCTCCTTGATTAGTTTCCACCCATGGCTTCTTGTCTTACCCTCAGGTGCTTTGGAGAATAGCTTGACTCCCTCTTCTTTATGGTCAATATTTTACTCAATATGGTTCTACAATGTAACGTGTGATGGTAATTCATCTTTTTTTTTTAGTATGTGCTACCCCAACATACGATTTAGAAATATATGATTGGTTGGTTAACTGCTTCTTTATGTTAAACATATGTTAAGTGACAAACTGGTGAACACATCATATTTCCTTCAGAATTATGTCTGTAGACTGGCAGTCGCTATCCAACATTATAGCAGTTGTATTTCCCAAGAAGTTATATGCCTCTGAAGCATACAAGAATTAGTTTTCCATTTCTGCAATAAGACTCAGATATTTGGATTATATAGTAATGTTGGTACCATCTAATAATAATATAAAGTTTGAAGAGTTTTCAGAAATTTAGTAAAGAGACAAAGGATGAAGAAAATAATGAGACCTATGTTTCAGCCTCAGCCCGCCCTTGGAAAGATTCTTATTTAGCTGAACTAAGACATTGCATTTTCCCTATAAAATATCATTGATTTATGCATTGGAAAAAGCATAGTATCATAAAGATCTCTATTTCATTATTAGTGGGGAAGATTGGAGAAATCAGTTATTTTTGGCATTGGATAGGCAGATAAGAATAGCATTCAAATATGGCTTCATTAATCCTGTATTACAGAAGGAAACTTATTTATTGTAAAAGATGGAGGAAGTGAACCTGTGGTGGATTAAGGTGCATTCTATTTTGCCATTAATTAATGTCAGGAAACTATTCCATTTGCACGGATTTATACATCCATCAAATCCAAACAATTTGTGCATATTTAGATGATATAATGAGCTACCACAATCCTTTTCCCCCCAGAAGCAGGCAATCCTACCCTATGACTGTTTCCTAGAACAGCACAGCCAAGGTGTGCTGCTTTTTTAAAAAGCTTGCCACAATGTCTTCAGGATTTTCCCCAGCCCAAGTAATACAAGAGCTTCCCAAAATCATAAATCAATAAATGTGTGTGTGTATGTGCACACGTGTGTATATGCATGTGTTATTTACACCTATGCTATGGAAATTCTCAGTCATCCAAGTCATGGTTTTCCCAAATAGGCTTTTTCAAAAGGCAACTGGACTTTGTTTTTCCTTGAGAACATTTTACTTCTCATTCCAGGAAATATTGGTTCAGTTCAGTTCCATTCAGCTGGAGAAACATCTTTGAGGAAAAACAAAATCCAGTTACCTTTTGAAAAGGCACTTTGGGGATTTACACCTGTGCTCTTCTTTGGGCGAGGAGGAGGGAAAGAATTAACCAAGAATCCAAATTTCTAGTATATCTCATCCAAATATGTCTCTCTTTAGAATAGTATTGCCAAAATTTCACTAAAGAGTGGTTATAAGATCTATTTTGGGCAAATAATTTTTGATTTTAAATCAATTATAACAAATGTGTACGCCATACACATCTGGGGAGCATTTTAACAGCAACAAAAACAACTTAGAAACCACTGGTCAAAACAGATCATTGTAGTAAAGATGTGGCTTCACCTTAAAGCAGTGTTTCTCAACCTTGGCAACTTGAAGATGTCTGGACTTCAACTCCCAGAATTCCCTATGCTGGCTGGGGAATTCTGGGAGTTGAAGTCCAGACATCTTCAAGTTGCCACGGTTGAGAAACACTGCCTTAAAGCAATAAATAGCTGGAAACATATGGGCAAATTAGACAAGCTTTTCACATGGTTCTTGATGTGCTTCTTCTCCTTTGCTTTGTCATAAGGCTCTAGCTGCATGGGGCCTTGTCATGTTTCCACAGTGACCAAGCACACTCGGCCCTCTGCCATACACAAAAGCTTGCTTTGTGCAGAGAAGCAGCTGGAAAAGGATGTGTATCTAACCAGGAGCAGTTTGGGGAACTTAGTGTATTTTGAAACATACAACAAGAACAAATTAATAACATAGAGACATTTGTTTTAATTTTGATACATGTGTATTTTGTGGAACTTCTTGAGCTGTTTCATGTAGCAACATTGGAGATACTTTGAGACATGGAAAGAAGCCTTAAAAATTAAAAAGCACAAGGTGTTCCTCATTTGGAGGTTGCATTTCCCCCAAAAAATATATATATATTTCTGTGTTATTTAGATCAAAGTGAAGCTTTCCTCTATCAGGGTGCTGAAATGAAATAATAAACGTGGTCCTAATACGTATATAAAAGAGATGTAAATTTAATTCTCTATCTCTGATAGGACTTTAAAATGCTTTTACTGCTCTGCATTAGTTTGCTAATTCTTTTGTCTTTCATTCCTCTTTCTTGGATTCCCCCACTTATGACATTTAGAAGTTCTTGGAGCAGAGAAGTATTTTACGTGTTTGTAATACTGTGTGAAGTATATTATGTGAAGTATATTATATACAGATGTTGCTTTATAAAGATACAGAGGATATAATGAACCAAATGCCGAATGAGAAGTATCCATTATTCCTGATATTACATTAAATCAAGGACTATATCATGGAAGCATTTTTGCAATTCACACCACGTTATACAACCATTGTGTGTGGTAACATAAATACACAAATGATATAAATTATGTTATTTGCATAATGAGGTAAATTGATGCAAATGATATCATTTACGTAATGACGTCATTATACAAACGAATTAAGTCATGGTGGAATTTGGTCTGTTCCATGCAATCTGTTGCTCAAGGTCTCTATATTCCTGGTCTTATTTTATAGAACGTTTTTGCTAATAAAAGCAGTTGAAATTCTGTATAAACTGCAGGTGTGCCATTCAATCTAAAAGACAAATTCAAGAATAAATTCTCAAAATAAGATACATGCTGCCAATGTATTTTTAGTCAGGAAATTGTAGTTGTGTAATTCTGTCATTGCACAAAGCTTTATGGAATTTTATAGACATTATTAACAAGCTTCTTTGGCTGGTTTGCCATGTAGCAAATCAACGAACTGATTTGTGACACTGTTGAGGGCAGATCTTTTCCATAAAGCAAACCTAACCATCCTAAAAAGGGATGTGCAATACACTGTGTTTCAATGACACAATATTTTGTGTAATTCGAGAATGTAGGATTTGTCCTCCAGATCATATCGGTCCACGTATTCCAGGGATGGCCTCTCAGTTTTTCAGAGCTTAATGCTCTGAACACGAAGCATCTTTTTCTTATGAAAAAGTCTTATCCAAGAGATGTCTTGTCCCAGTCAGTCTCACCCAGCTGTGAGGAATGAAAGTCCAGTCGATGAGTGCCTGTCTGTTCCTCAACAGGTTTGCTTAAAGCAAATTAACAAATAGGCAACAGTATGTTGATTAACATAAGGATGTCTCCTTTTTGGATGGAATGTTTTGGACTATTAGAAACAATATCATGCTGCGTCCTTGCTTTCTTAAATTATGTTGGCTTTTTTCCTTCTCTTTTGTTGTTTATAGGTTATCAGAAATAATAATAATACTTGGAAATGCCTCAAAATAAAATTATCATAGAAATATATAAATTAAACAAAGTTGTATTTTATGATATCCCTCTCATTAGTCTCTTAAAATACTAAATTTAAATATAGAGTTTTAACAGCCTCCCACAACATGCTTTCATTTTTTCATCAAAGAAAAAAATAAAAATGATAGATATTAAGAATATAAATTATGAGTCATGTTTTGCATCACTCGGTTTACCTTTTTGAGCAGAGAAGCAAATCTCATGCCGCAGGCCACATGCAGCCTATTAGCACACCTCCTGCATCCACCAGAATCTTCCAGATTAGGACAAATTAAAAATAACTTTTAAAAAAAACTTAAAACTCTGCCTTGATATGCTACGGGCAGTGGTGGGATTCAGCCAGTTTGCACCATTTTGGGAGAACTGGTTGTTAACTTACTGAGCAGTTTGGTGAACTGGCTGTTGGAAGAAATCATTAGGGCAGAGAACCGGTTGTTAATTATTTGAATCCAACTACTGACTATGGGGTATAGAGATAAAGTGGTTATTCAGACTTGCAAAGCTCTCCCCCACAATGGGCCGATATCTATCCTTGAGGATTCATACTCAGTCAATGCAAGTAGTCCTCAATTTACAATTATAACCACAGTCATTGCAGTGGTAAGTCAAGGCATCACATGACTGGATTTGAAATTACAAACCTTTTAATGATGGTCATTAAGCAAACAAGGCATTTGTTAATCCATTGTCCCCAATTGCCAAAAACTGGAAGTAAACACTGTCTGACCCACACCCCAAAAATGTTGCAAATCATGGTCACGTGAATGCAGGATGCTGCAAATGGCCATAAAAGGGAGCTGGTTGCCAAGTACCCAAAATATGATCATGTGAATAGGTTGTAAGTAGCTCTGGGTAGGTTCATTGTAACTTCAAATGATAGTTAAGCAATCAGTCATAAGTAACTCTTATTATCAGCACTGCGGTATCATCTATACAGTAACGTATATGATTGCTTTCCAAAGTAGCATAATTCTCTTTCATCAGAGGCTATTTGGAGAAAGGGAAATACTTCCTTTCATATTTACAAAGTAGCATTTACTGTAATTAGCAGTTTACCTGGTTCCCTGTGACAGCTAAGTCACATCTGTAGCTGTACATTATCTATCAATAGAGACCTTCAGATCATCTCAGGGATACTAACAAAAGTACCTTTTTGGTGGGGACATCCTGATTCCATTGTTTCCTACATCCCTCTTTCTCAGAAGTGGGTTGCAAATCCTGGCGCTCCTGGTTCGCTCATGCTTGCTCGTTTGCTTGTGCATGTGCAGAAGCATCTGGGCGGGTAGGCGGAGCCTCTTGCCGCCGCCGCTACTGGTTTGCCCGATCCGGGCCGAACCTGGAGCACCTCTGCTCTTCCTGTGCCTTGAGAAGTCCATTTGCACCTATATTATACTATTTTCAATGCAGTGCTGAGTAAAAACCACTTTTCTTTAATCTTAATTTCAATATCCTCATCAATCTTAAAATCTCATTTTGTGTAAAATTATTTACACAATTATTGTACTTGTAATAATGTTGTTTTTCTTCAGTTGTGTTTTTTTTATTTTATGCAGTTGCTGGTTTTGTTTCCTATGATTCTCATCTTCTCTTTTACCACTTGTAATGTTTTTAAATGTTTTCTTGTACGGCATCCAGACAAGTAAAATAAATAAATAAACTTAATGTCAAAATCTAATATGCTCCACCCTCATATTTGGTGTCTATGACAGGGAATGGAGCAATATAGAGTATGATGGTGTGAGATTATAGTCTAGGATCCAAAGACAAAATTATGCTACATAATAGAGTGGGAAGGGAAGGTGTGTAGCAGATGTTTGCCATTTGAGTAACATTTTCACACTGAGCATTATGGTCCTGCAAGCAAATCACCAGAAAGTAAAAAATTGAATTATTTTTTTTCTCAAGAGAAATAGCTGGTTTCTTTTCTTTCTTTTTTATTTTTTGCACTTTAGCTTTTTCAAGCCAGCGTCTGGTTTGAATCTGGTATTGTTGACCGAAACCAAATCAGAAGAAAAATAGCATTTGTTTTCTAGCAGCATTGTTCATTATGGGTGTGTATATGGTCATGTATGTATCACACTCTCTCTAGTTAGGGCTCAAAGGAGGAAAAGAGGAAGCCCTAAGATGACTCCCCCCATCCCCCACCCCACTCCTCAACTCTTTTCTTTCCTTCTATGTGGGAGAGATGTTAAGGCAGTGATATTAAATAGGGCATCCAAGGAGGAGGGGTTTCCTTTTCCTCCAGTGCTCGGCTCAGTCAGATGCTGTCCCTGCAGCTTTGGACTGATAAGCTAAGGAATGCTTTTCCCTTATAAACAGTAAGTGCATTTCTGGTTGTCAAGGGTCTGGCGAGAATAAAATTGTACGGTGCAGTAGGAGCCTTGTCTGTGTGCTGCAGCAGTCTTGGGGGATGGGCCCAGCGCTTGTCAGAATGGATGGCGATGTGTGTGTGTGGTCCGTGGAGGGAGGATTGGACAAAAGGTGGGGGGGAGAGGAGGAGAATTGTAAAGCCAATAAGTAACATTCAGGGGCTTCTCCCTCTTTGTTGAAATCAATGCTTTGCTTTCCTCATAATTGTCGAAAGAGATTAGTACCTGCCCGTTATGAGTAAATGAATTGACAGCATGACAGGTCTGCATCCCCCCCCCTCCCACCCGGCCACCCTGAGTGCTGGCTCTGTCCATGAAATCCGGCATGAGTTGAATCCATTTGCATAAAGGCTTGTGGTTGCATGTTGCTCATGATGACTCTGGGGAAACATGGGAAATCTTTCTCCTATTTGGAATATTTATTTATTTCATTTTTTTAAAAATCCTGCCTTATATACTAGTTTGGCCTTCATCAGATTGGCATCAGATGCTTTGTAATGTTCCCTTGATCTTGTTTTGTATTTTCTCCAATAGCATCACTGGAAAAAAAATGACTTATGACCCTTTTTGACACTTATGACCTCTGCAGCATCCCCATGGTCATGTGATATACAACCAGATGCTTAACAATCAGTTCATATTTATGAGCATTGCTGTGTCCCAGGGTCATGTGATCACATTTTACAATCTTCTAAGTAAAGTCAATGGGGAAGCCAGATTCACTTAACAATGTGTTACCAACTTAACAATTTCAGTGAGTCACTTAACAAATGTGGCAAGAAAAGTCATAAAATGGGGCAAAACTCAGTTAACTGCAGTGGCATAGTGGTTAGAGTGCAGTACTGCAGGCTACTTCTGCTGACTGCCGGCTGCCTGCAATTTGGCAGTAGAAATCTCACCAGGCTCAAGGTTGACTCAGCCTTCTATCCTTCCAAGGTGGGTAAAATGAGGACCCAAATTGTTGGGGAAAATATATTGACTCTGTAAACTGCTTACGGAGGGCTGTAAAAGCACTGTAAAGCAGAATATAAGTCTAAGTGCTATTGCTAGTGCTATTAACAAATTTCTCACTTAGCAACATAAATGTTGGACTCAATTGTGGTTGTAAGTCGAGGACTATCTATACTCTCTAATTGCTCAGGAGACTTTATCAAATTCAAGTAACATATCAACCCCACTATTCAGAAGGATATTTAGATTGAAATATAAGCATGCATTTTTCCTTGACTGTTAAAACCATATCATTAAAATAAAAAGGTTTTAAAAGCAAAATTCATTCTGTCATGAGCATTCAAGTTGCCTGGTAGAAGTTTTTCGTTTCTCTGGCATTCTCTGTATCTGTCCAGAACCTTCTCAAAAAAATTCCCAATCACTTGGAACAGATTTTGAAAGATACATATAACTGATATAGGGGAGGAAAATAATATTGGAAATATCACTTTTAACAGATTTAGGGAAATTGGTAAAGTTGCAGAAAAGAACAAGATGATGATCGGGAGACTAATAGGTTGCTCCAACAGCTTAATTATTTAAGGATATCAAGATATGTGAGCAGTATCCAGGATCCTATTTCACCCTAGAATTTTCCTGCAAATTGAAGAGTTTTCATCTCACATTGGAGGCAGAGTGGCTGTTTCTGTTAGATGTAAGACAGTACTTCTGAGATAAACACTTCCATGCTAAAGTGACAGATGATTTAGAAATCAATATATTTGTACAAAATAACTGTTTTTGAACCATATAGGTTGAACCAATCTTTGCTCTAAAAGTGTGTCAGCAGTCAAGTAGTAATTTGATTGTATGGTTACATCTCCCAACCTGATTGGATTGAATTTAAGCTTTCTCCAAATGTTGGTTGGGATGACTGGAGTAATACTCCAAAATAGCTTGAAGGTAGCAGCTTGGGGTAGGTTGTGGCTTTGAATACAAAGTTTGATGTCTATGAAGTTTAATTAAATGAAAAGTGACATGCCACAACTATGCACATATATACAGACACCCTTTCTTACATGCTTCATGCTTTTCTTGATTATACTTTCCTCATTTCAGAGTGAAGAAGTTGAAAGATACCTTTGCTTTCATACAACAGCTGGACAAAAACATGAGTCATCTTCATACATGGCTGGCACGCATTGAATTTGAGCTTTCTAAACCTATTGTTTATGACATCTGTGATGATCAAGAAATACAGAGGAGACTCGCAGAGCAGCAGGTAGGGTTGAAAAAAAGTAGAACTGAAAGAGTTGGGCCAATGTTTAACTCAATGAGCGTTCCTGAGATCATTCCTTTCTTTATATTTCAATGTTAGATATTCCTCTTCCCAAGTCTTTGGTATTGTTTTTATTATTTGAATTTCATGCATCATCTTCAATAATGGTTCTACTCAACTTTCTTCTACATTGTTATACTATAGAGCAGGGCTGTCAAACTCCTGGACCATGGTCCGGATGTGTCATGTGTTCGCCACGCCCATGCCCGGTTTAGTGAAGGGGGCGAAGTCCCGATACATCACATGATGCTGCTGTGATGACATGAGTTTGACATCCCTGCTATAGAGTGTCATCAGCTCACCTGGGCCTGGTGCTTTATTCATTTTTTATTGCTTGTTTAATCTCTAAAATTGTTATTAATTTCCATAAGATTTCTCTATATTCTTATGTAAAATTTTAGGCTTTGAATTTTAAATATATATTTCTAAGTTTCCTTCATCAATTATTTTTTAATCTAGAATGCAATTCCTTAAATTTTTTGGCACATTCCTTTTTTTTATTCTTGTATAAACTGTAATAATTTTTCTTTCTCTGTTGTTCCAAACATCCTTCTTTCTCTTTTCTAATTTTATAACCCCGTTTCCCCAACTTGTTTGCATTTACAACATAATTTAGTTGGGCATAATTTATATTCTGCTGAAGTTCTACCATTCCCAATAAATCTAACTTTTTATTTAACTTTCTTAATACTTGTCAGTCTGGACTGGTTTTACAAAGCTTTACTAATTCCTTTATTTTCTCTTCAAATTGTGATTTCCATCTATTATGAAAGATTGCATTTTCCAGCTGTGGTGGTCTTTGATTCATCTCTTCTGCCAAAATAATATTTCCAATTATTTATAGCTTCGTTAGCAGCTCAGATTGAGGCACTGGCTTTAGTTGTAGTGAAGTGATATATTTTAGCGCCAGGAATTGCCTGCAGACTCAGTATACACCCCAATGTAGACACACACACCAAAATACTGAAACTCAGGGGGGATAGTCTCTATCAGTATATCTAACACAGAATACTAAAGTAGAATCACTAAATTTTAGACACAGTTTATTGAAGAACAAAGGCAGAACAAACAACTAGGAATGCTGCTGGTTTCATGAGCTGCTTGTAAACTTTAGAGGCATGTTTGTCTACTGTACCTAGCACAATATTGAGTTTGAACATTCTATTAGTTTCATGTAGCAGATCTTTTCATGTAGTTCATAAAACCCATCACTTTACTTGGAATGCCTATTAATAATTTTAAAGTGTCCAAGATTTGCAGTTTTCATTGAATGCTTTAGGTGTCTGAATCATGAATTGCTGTGGTCAGTACCTACCTTGTCTCTATAATATATAGTCAGAAAGAGAGAAAAAGAGAATCCATTGAGAAGTTTTTTTGAACATTAAATGAAAGAAAACTTTGTAGGAATATTTATATTCATGCAATTTGCAGTTTTTTCAATGGATCTTGACCAGCAGAATACCTGGATGCATCGTGTTGCATTGGCTATGCCCTCTGCAATTCTAATTTAATTGATAGAATAATAGCTTCAAAGGAAAACCTTACAATCTAGGCTAGATGGAGTTCTTACTATGTGAATACAAGCAATTGCAAATCATTTATATATTGTTGTCAAGAAAATTTTATAGGTGGATACATGAATTTACCAAGTGTTCAAGGAGACTAGTTTTTTTAAAGATATGCAGGTAAAGAGGATTGATAGTAACAGGTAATACTGAGACTATGAAACTTTTAAGGCATAGGAAGAATAACATTTCCAGAAAGAATTCAATATTTGAAAAAGAATGTCTCTGGTGTCCGTTCAAATAGATTATTTGTATATCAGTGCTTTTAACTACCAAAATGCAAAGGAGGAAGTGCAGTAGCAAAATTTCACTATTCATAGGATGATATAGTTTAATATTTAAATATGCTATGTTTTAATAGAAGTTAAAATTTGTTTAGCTAAAACCGTGAAGCTATGCATCACAGTCAAGTTTTTTCAAGCTTATCAGTGGAGGAATTACATGTTTAAATGTTCCTCCATAATAATCCTTCCAAAATGTAACTTTAAGGAGGAAACGTAGAACGGTTGCCCCTATTGGGTTATATGTGAAGCTTCTTATTTGAAGAGTGTATGTACCCATTTGATCTATTACCAACAGTCTGTTATATTTAATCACATGGCTAATATATAACAATCATTAGGAACGTCTTTGGGGATATGGAATGTCTGACCTTTCATGTGACATATCAGTGGCTTCTTCTGTTGTATTGTATGAAACTACTATAACTGGAGATGACCTTTTGCTCATGGTTGTAGGACCTGCAACGGGATATTGAACAGCACACAGCAGGTGTGGAATCTGTCTTCAATATATGTGAGATCTTACTGCATGATTCTGATGCCTGTGCCAATGAGACCGAATGTGATTCAATCCAGCAGACAACAAGGAGCTTAGAACGGCGGTGGAGAAACATCTGTGCCATGTCTATAGAGAGGCGGATGAAGTGAGCGATTATTACTCTTCTTTCTAAAAAACAAACCAACCCTAAAACATGTTAGGTTTTTAAACAATGTCTATAAAAAGCCCAAATAATCTATTCTTCAAAGAAAGAACAGATAAGTAATTTACTGTGTAGGAAATATTAGCTTAGTGCTACAGTTTATGTTCATTGGTCTCTGCTTCATTCTCCATATAAAAAGAAATAATGTGAAAATCTCTACTCCTAAACTAAAAACTACAACATCTAAGGAGATAGTAGAATACATTTATTGTCTGGGATGAGAGAATGTAAATGTCAATGGTTTATTCATTTCTTTGCTCCTAGTTGTGGTAACTAAAGCTAGAATAAATTATTTAAAACATTTTAAAATGCCTACAGTTGATATTATTCCAAAATGACAAATTTAATATTTGATTAATTTACATACTTTACCTAGGCTACAAGGTACAGATTTTCCAGGCACAGAACATGTTGTTCTCATCCAGGCTTCCTTAAAAAGGAAGTCTGAATTTATTTACATGACTGTGAGTTCCTTTCATTCACAGTCAGCAAGGCTTTCAGCGGAATGTTTATCAACACGAACCTTATCTCATTTGGAGAGCTGCCAAATAACTAGTTTCCAAACGCAGGGCAAGGCAAAACTTGCCACAGAGACTCTTATAGTCACAAACAGAAATTTTCACTCTTGAAATGACCGAGTGAATCAATTGTTTCCTGCAAAAGCCCTCTTTTGTTTCCTATGGGAGGGGCCAATCACCTCCAAGGTGTGGCTTTACTCCTAAATCGACCCTGCTTTCTTAGTTATTCCTGTCTTTTGGCAGCTCTGCACATGTGCTCATTGGGAACAGGCTCCAGCTGTTTCTCTGCCTTACTGCTGTCTAACTCCCTCTTTGCCTCCAACGCAGAGCCCTCATCTGAGCTTTTCTTCAGCCTACAGGATTGGCCCCTGTTCCTCCCCAACCTCCTCACTGTCCAGCTTTGCTGGCTGCCAGCGGGGCACAACACATGTACCATATTATATATTTGGTATATGCATTTTTCTGCCTTTGAAGTGTTGGTATATGTCTCTGAGAAAATGCCAGAATGCAAACCAAACTAAGACTGAATACTATGTATACCTGATTGTATATCAGTCTACAAACCTGACACTCCAAGTCTTGGGATTTGGGATTAAAAGAAGAAATAGTCAACTTGAGTTATGAGCAAATAGAATGGAATTCATACATCTGCGCGCTTTCTATAAAACGTGAAACAAGTCTTTAAAATTATATTTTTGAATCATTTTAATTTAGTACTTCAAGTTAAGGTCACATATATCTTTTTCCATCCAGGAGGAAATACATTTTAGTTAAAATTTAGTTTGAATGTTTTTCGTTCAGAATATTTCTGAATGCTAATAGAATATATCCAGGTCAAGATATCCAAGTCTCTGAGCTTGATTGCTTGATGCCGATTTCGTAACATCAGCAATGCCAATGCTAGGAGCATTTCTAAATACACTTTTTTAGTTGAGTTGAGTATAGTTTATTGGATTGGATTTGGATTGGATTATGAGATTGGGTTGGCTTGGGTTCAGTTTAGATTGAAACATAAATAAATTTTGATGCAGGACATGTATGGCAGAAAGGGATTCATATTTGCAAATAAACTGTTGCTGCCTGTTTCTGCAATAGGATTGAGGCAACGTGGCGACTATGGCAAAAGTTTTTGGAAGATTACTCTCGTTTTGAAGTTTGGCTGAAAACAGCAGAGAAAACTGCAGCTTATCCTAACTCTTCAGAGATTTTGTATGTAACGGCCAAGGAAGAGTTGAAAAAATTTGAAGTAAGAACTCCTTTTGTAGTTTTTCCGTCTTTGTGTACAGATGTAATTGGGTAAATGTACCAAATTGTGGATATCAAACAAATCCTATATTTTAATTCTTCACTTTTCTTGGGTAGCAACTTTCCTTATTATTTTGAACGCATTAATTTTAAACCATTTGGAAAATATATATATATATATATATATAAAATACATTATTTTTCCTTAGGCATTTCAGCGGCAAATTCATGAGAGATTAACCCAGCTAGAATTAATCAATAAGCAATATCGGCGGTTGGCCCGTGAGAATCGCACTGATTCAGCTAACAAGCTCAAGCAGATGGTTTATGAGGGTAATCACCGATGGGACAATCTTCAGAAACGTGTCACAGCAATTCTCAGGAGACTTAAGGTAGTTGCAAACAGGTTTGGAGACAAATGTCTCTGGAGATACTCAGTCATCCAGGTGATGGTTGTCCCAAAGGTGCTTTTTTCAAGAGGCAACTGGACTTCCTGCAAAACATCTTCAAAGGAAAACCAGAAAGTCCAGTTTCCTCTTGAAAAAAGCACCTTTGGGCTCGGAGACAAAGCAGATATTAGAGGTCTAGATAATGTGTCCTTAAGGGAACAAGAGGTTGAATTCTGTAGTGCGGAATTGGCAACTTTAAGATACAACTCCCCGAATTGGATTTTAAAGCATCTTAAAGTTACCAAGGTTGAGAAACACTGCTGTTGTGGAACCATCACCTACACATTCTGACTTCCCAGGTGAAATTATTTCAGTTCTATACTTAGTCCAGGGGTGAGCAACCCACGGCTCTGGAGCCGCATGTGGCTCTTTCATCCCTCTGCTGTGGCTCCCTGTCACTCAAAGTATGTGTCACAACCAGCAATGTGCGACTCCCACTAGCACGTGATTTCTTGAACTTTTCAACCCCCAGTAGGCCAACCATGGATAAATCCAAGAAAAGAAAAGTTTCAGAAGAAAACAGAACCTTTAATTCAAATACATATGCCAGTTTTGTGGGCACTCAGGAAATAGTCAGGCACAGGAAGGGTTTTATGGCTCCCAGTGTTTCCTTTTCTGTGGGAAACAGGACTAAATGGCTCCTGAGTGTTTAAGGTTGCTGACTCCTGACTCAAATTTGCAGAATTAGGGAATTGTAGTATCTGAGAGCA